ATTCTCTGAACTCAAATGACCTTTTACAATATAAATATTGAATACAGTATGTTCTTTTTCCCTTTGTTTTGTTTTGGGTGGAGACGAAATGTGCACCGCGTACAAGTTACTGACCTAGATGGCTTGATATTAGCCAAGTTCTCTTCTTGTGTTTTGTCAACAAAGGTGAAATCTAGGTCCATAAAAATGCAAAATCAAAGAATACCTATGACCGTCAACTTGTGGATAAACAAAATTAGAAATCAAATATTCGAATTTGGGAACTTGTAATCAGTAGTCTTATAGCAAAACTTGTGTTGTAAAGATTAAAATGACCAAAAGAACTCCAAAATAATTTCAAAATTTTCAGTTTCACTTTGTAACTTTGCTTGAAAGCTTCTAAAATAATAAATCTCTGCACTAAAACTTTCTCCCAAAGAAGTAAGCAGATCACCCCAGTCTCAGGAAAGAGCACCATACAGTGAGAGGATGATAAGAATGATAGAGACCAGTAGAGCTGAACCACATTCAGTCGAGTTTCAGTCTGGTCCAAAGGGTGGAAGTGGCTCACTAAGTTTCTCAATCCAACCAATGCCACAGCAGGGATCTGAGAAAGATGTTTCAGGCATTGAACAGTCTGCTTTGGGTGCTGGGCCAAGCCTTGTAACTAAGCCTCTGCCTAACTCTGCTGAAGGTGGTGAAATTGCCCCCCATGTTCATAGCACTACCCAAATGCCAGGTAAGCTTAGCTTGGTCAAGAAACAATCTTTATACACACTTTTGCATCAAAATGCACATACTCTTAAATGATAGAAAACACTTTTTTTAAAAGAGTGTGGTTAAAAGCTTTGGGTCTTTTTCATTTTTGTGAAAGTTGTTCAAAGAAATGGAAAAGTACCTGTTCAATTTTAATTTTTTCTGACCAATGAAAATTAAAGCCTTCTGTGAAATTTTCTCTTTTTTCAATGTGATGTATTAAATTTGAAAAATGGAAATACTTGAAAATTCAAATCCCATTTTACTCAGGATTTCAGTGTTCTCCTTTCCAGATGGTAACCAGTAAATTTAACTGCTTGTAGTGCCTCTTATTACTGCCTAAAATCACTCAAAATTCTAGAAATGTCAGCAGATAAAAAGATTGCTCTACCAGTTTGACACTTTCTTTTACTTGTGTTGCTTAACATAAGGGAGAACTTTAATTTGGAGTCCATCTAAGGACAGTCATATTAGATGACATCATCATAAACAACTTTGCTTCTTCATTTCCTAAAATAAATAAATTCTATGTCACTGTGCATCTCCTTAGTAATAGATAACAGAAGACACTTAGCTGCACTTTGTGTCTCACATTTTTGTTTTTACTACATTTTGGTGTCATCTGTGATCATATTCCTTTTTTTCTATCCTTTGAAATGTATAAATTTCTGTATAACTGAGCTAACTAAACTGTAGGAAGCTATAATTATTTTAGTGATAATTGAAGAGGTGTGTGGAAAGAAGCCCCCAGTGACATCTGAATGAGTGCAGGAATCTCCTTTTAGCATTTAACCCCTAAGTTCTGATTGCAAATTCTCCCATCAAGCTGCTACACATCTCCTTGTAAATTAGTTATCAGAAATTGGTGTTGGATCGATATAACAACAACTTCCTGATAAGTTTGAGTATTCCCATTACCTGTTTGCAGGATAATGTATTGATATTATTGGAAGAAGTTACATGTTGATCACTTCTGGGAGTTAAAGGTTCTGTCTTGTACTTCTTTTTGATACTAATAGAGAAGATGAAGCTGTATCAGAAGTCACTTAGGACTGTATTTCATGCACCCCCTTCAGTTAGTTTGTGTTTTGCTGGCATTGAAATATTTCAGGTGTTCATCATTAGTTCATCGTCCCACGCCCATGACAAGACAAAAAACCTCTTTCTCTATTTCTTTACCAAGCTCAAAACTTACCATCTCTCTTATTCTATTTAAAAAAGTATGAAGTAGATTATTTCCAAATATTTCCTGCCCCCTATAAAAAGGGAATATTAAGATGTTCATTTTTACCATCACTAGTATTGGGAGAATCACAGGCCCATGTGGCAGGACTGCCCCATCATACACCTGGAATTTACCCGCAGTTTTTGGCACGGCATTCAACAGACCAGTCTCTCCTTAATAATAACCAGACAAGAACTAGAAACCCACAAATATCAGGCACAAGGTCTCAAATGAGGCCAGATGTGAACAGTCAAAACCTATTTCTTGTTGGTCACACATACCCGAATCATAGAAACATGCCGACAGAGCAAGATGACACAGCTGGATGGCCATCTACCATGGAAAGAAGGAGAATCACAGAGAGATGGTGTTATTGCTTCAGATTAGTGGTGCGTAAACCTTATTGAGTGGATTGATTAACATAATGCTCTAGGCTTTGACCACTTGGTCACCTGATGGCTGCTATTAATTTGCAGTGAGAATGGCTAATTTGACAACTTGTGTTCAATAGTCGTCCAAAACTGTAAGGTCTTCTACACTCAAGTTAAACTGTGACAAATCTCAATGCAATCCTTAATGCTCTTTCTCTTTAATTGTCTTAGTTAAAAACAATGAAATAAAATAACAACAACAACAACAACACTAGAATGTGTGGTATGAACATTCATAGACAATTACATCTAACAGCACTGACCAAGTACTTGCTGTTTAGATTGCCATGGAAAGTGAAATTATATTTTCAGCCACAAAAATTTGGCAAAAGTTGCCAATTGGCAACCAACAGATTTGAAAAAAAAGTTTGAAAAATCTGTCAATGTTTGGTTGAATTATCAAACATACAAATCCAGTAATGCAAATGGAAGTACCTGCCAACCGATATGACCTTTTTTTCTTTAGTCACCCTTTTATTTTTTTTTCAGTGGCAACCATTTAACAGCTGAAGGTTGCCAAAGGGAAAGTTTGTGAAAAAGGGAACTTGGAGCCCTGTTTAAGGAAAAGTGTTCACATCAGCATGCAGTATAGTATGTTATGTAGTATTGCTTCAAGATTCCTGCAATTTTTCTGTTTTATTTTCTGATAACCATTTTATCACTTTTATCACTTGGTTTCTTTGGCACACAGCCCTATTGAAGGGTTTGTTTTTAGCTGTTTGGGTTAGGGTTTATTTTGGGGGAATTACCAGTATTTGAATAAATTTTTCAATTCTCCTTTTTTTAGGAGAATGATGATGATTTAAGACCAATCTGTGAGTTATGTCTTAGACATCGTTACCGGTAAGTAGTTCATTGAGACACTTTACAGAGTGTAAGTGAAAAAGCTGTGGAAATTCTCAAAATTTGGCCTTTTTATCTATTTATTTGTTTATTAATATTTGCAATGTTTTGCAAGAAGACAAAAGAAGTAATTTTCACTTAATCTTAAATTTTTCATGAAAATAATCAGAAATCTAATCAGAATTGTGGCAACTGACACAGAACTTTTAGTGGTCAGTCAAAAAACAGACAGTTGTGGCTTGTGCCTTGTGTAATGAGCTTACTAGAAAAGAGCCATTGATAAGTGGCTGATTTCCTTTAATGTCATATTTGTTTTGCTTATTAACACAGGGGACCTAGAACTTGTTCCCAAATGAACCAGCATGTGTGCTGCTATTGCTTTCAGGTACTGTATTTCAGGGGAGAAAAAAAAATGCTCTGAAATGTGATGATTAAGTTTGTATTCAGTTTGATCACATTGAAGTTATGATGGATTGTTCTCTCTGAGAATTAACTTGCTCTTCAGACTTATAATAATCTACAACCTAAGGCTGCTTACATAATTATCCCTTTGAACAAGTGTCTGATACTCCTTCAAAGATAGACTAACAGTAAAAGAAACTTCATAAGTGTATCAGTAGCAATAATAAGTTATTTTGTCCAGATTTGGATCTTAATATGTTTGGTAGTGTTTGGATAAAGGGAAAGGAACACTTTAATTGAGGATTTCTTGTTTATGTAAATGTTTGTGTTTTTAATCTGTAATCATGTTTAGGACGGTGTGGGTGACTTTTTGAGCTTGCCATGCCATCATAAGTTCCACAGGGACTGCATAATTGCAGCAATTCAATTAAACATGTAAGTAAACATTTCAAGACAAAATATCATGCATAGTGTCTTCCTCAAAATGTTTGGCACACCTCATAAATACATACTTTCCAGGAACAGTTTTGTTTCCTCTTTTATGTAAACTTGTCACTTGGCAGGCATTTTCAGGGGATTTCCACCAAAGCAGGTGTAGAAGAGAATGCTCTGCATACATGTGTTCTCTTGTCAGAAATATAGTTTTTTTGGTTGAAAATTTCAATATATATGTAGGTCTGCACATGATTCTGGCACACCCAGCTTCCAAAGCTTATTCTGCTTTGGTACAAAACATAGCATAAATGACAAGAGGTGTAGTAACTCATCTGACAGGCCATTATGAGGGTTTGAAACCCCCACAGATTGTCAACACTAAAAAAGCTTTTAATTACCAATAAAGGTGGACAGGACTGTGCTTCTAGTTTGCCGAACCCAGGTTCCACAGGGACCTTACTTTTGTCTCTGGGTGGCATATGTAACTTCTCTGTTAAGAAAGTTCTTAACACTTGGGTACCTCAAATTTCTTGGATAACAGCTTGAGTGCTCTGTCAATGGATTTAAAAGAGCAGCTCTGGTTAGGCTTGGGAATGTAGGAGTTTGAGTAACTTGAGGGGGGCTGAAAGGGAGGCTATAAGAATACAGAGCTTTTGTTATGCGACCTTTTCTTTTACTCTGAAAAATCAAAGACTTCAGCTCTTGCTACCTGCAGATGTTTAGTATGAGTTGAGTTAGCCCTGTGTGACAATACATACATAATGTAGTACTGCATATTCCTTGAGTACATGAATATCACAATACCTATATAAATTTCAAATTTGATGAGCTATGACCAGTTTTTACTCCTTTATATCAACTTGATATTGAAAATCAATGACTGCTGTTAGCCTACTGATGCACCAACTGGGTTAAACTACTAACTTTGCTTTCAAAGGGAGTTTGTCTTTTCAAGAAAATTTTCATCTCTTTCAGGTTGAATTGCCCAATTTGTGGACAAGCCTTTTTGCATTTGCCTTAATTAAGAAAGCAGTCACACCTGTGTTGGGAATATGAAGATATTCCTGGCCATACCTGAACCAAACACCATTTGTCTACACAGAAAGGAGGTTAACATGTGTTATACAAGATGTTAAAGCTGATTTGTTACACACAGTTTAAAATTTTTTTCTTCATAGAAGCAGCTTAAACCAATGTCTGCTCACTTAAAATGTAGCACACTGAAAATACAAGTCCATACTTAATTAATTTATTCAGTAAAACAAAGTTGTATGTTTTATATGTATGTTGAGTTAAGATTTCAGAGTAAAAGGTTGATAAAAATCATTAGAAGACAATGCCAATTACAATTTTAAATTACCAGTATGTAGGCCAAGATGTTTGTACACTTTTTGTGACAAGTTTCTGTAGAATTGATACTAATTATTTGTAGCATTGATATGATGTTTACAACATTTGTTACAGAAGATATTTTATAAAGCAGCACAAAGCACAAAGTTATGAATTATGTCAATATATGAAATGACTCTTACAGTCATGCATGTGCAATCCCACATTGGTCAAAATTTGTGGTGACCGCTGGGGATAGTGACAAATATGGTTGTCGCCAAGAGCACAGACTACACTAAACCACTTTTGCCACACTCGGTTCATATGTGATGACCTTGAGCCAAATATTTCCCTGTTCGTCCCTGCCACTTAGTAACTAAGTACATATTGTTTATTACATCTGTCTTGAAATCACTGGTGATCCTTGCAATCTGAGTAATAAAAACTTATTCATTGACAATGAAAATATTTTAAGGTTTTTTAATTTGGGTGGCCTTTTGTGAAGTACAACACTTAACTGTCCTGCAATTTATATTGAGAAATATTAAGTAAGAAATAATTTTTTCTGCTATTCACTTTAAAAACCATTTTTAACTATTATTGATTCTTAGATTAGCCTCTGTATTGATTAAAATAAAGGACTTTAACTTAAAATGCAATTAAAAACTTTCACAGGTGAACTGCAATTTGTAACAAAATAAAGGTTGTTAACTCTTTAACTCCCAAGATCTGATTGTCAATTAATTCTCATCTCTAGCTGCTAAACATTTCATTGTCAATCAGTTGCGAGAATTTGGTGTTAGATCAAGTTGACAACTTCTACCTGATACATTTGAGTATCAATTCTCATTACCTGTTTGCTAGATGGTGTATGAATATTGTAGGGAGAAGTTACTTGTAATCACTTGTGGGATTTTAAGGGTTAAGTATGTCAAAGTATCAAACACTAAGTCTTGATAGAGAGAGGATTTAATTTGGGAGATACATTAGCAGAGGTTCTCAGCATTTTTTATTAATTGCAACATTAAGACTTGACAACTTGAGGGCTTTTTTTTTCCCATCCTATTTTCAAAAAGTAGCCTACACTTCTTGAGGTTATTTACGATTGGAAACCCTTGTAGATTTAACGGTTTAGATGTTAGGTTGTAGTTCTTTGATACAGCTGTATAAAAATCTGTCCGTTTAAACTTGACAGTGGTAATTGTCAATGGATCATTTTCCTTGAAATAGCTAAAGTTCTTCCCAAGATTGCGCATGTTTTGTTTCTGTAATTAAGGGAATTCCTCATCCTCTCTGATCCAACCCCTTTCTTCTTACCAGTTACTCAAGGCCTTTTTCCACAGGCTTCTGTTGTTACAAGGTTGTGAGCATCCTCGTGTCAAAAGCCCATCATTCCAGTTAGCCACTGGGGCTTTTTGCAATATTTAATGCATCGCGGTAAGTTCAATGTGCTCTGGAAGCAGGGAAGCAACGGGTAGTTTCAAAAACGAAGACCCATAACGAAAACGAAGACCACGAAAACGAAGACACATTACTAAAACAAGTTCAAAAGAGGTTGGTATTACCTTTGTGGACAAAGATTATGTTCATGAGATACACTACGAAAACGAAGATCCTTACGAAAATCTTGAATTCTGAATTTGGCACGTCTGTAATTTATTACGGAATATTTCAATAGTTGAGCCTCATGAAGCCTTCAATGGGACTACTTTAAAGCTAAAACGAGATTTAAAGAAGAGACGTGACATGCATATGGAAAATGCGCTGCGTGACGCTTTAAGCGCTGGAGGTAAGGATAACATTACAAAAGATAACTGTCAAGTAGAAAATATGGAATTCATATATTCCATCAACTAAAATAGGATAACTGTATTGATTTGATTTTAATTGCGTTTCCTTAGCTCTTTTTTTTTTTAACATAAAGCAAATATATTAAGCGAATCAAAGAATGCGATGACATTTTACTAGCAGCAAAACACACAGGATAAAGCTTGCAAAGTAGGCTTTGTATTTAATGTTTCCGGAAACTCATTTGAGTGACATTTCATGAATGATCTTGTTATAAATTAAGTACCTGTGAGAAGCTTTGAAGTACCGTCTTCAAATTTACGGTGCACGTGGTTTCTTCCACGTGGCGTGCGTGACGACTGTACCATGGACCGAACTTGAAAACAAGTAACTTTTATAGACCAAATAAGTCATGACTCTGGTAATGTTCCCTTCGAAAATACTAAAAATATGTTGATTATACTTGCAGTGCTACTTTTCCCAAATTATGCCAAAAATCACGCTACCACAGTTTAAAAGGGGCCCACCAGTAATGTTAACGTTTGTTGTTTTGTAACAATTCAATACTTAATTTCCAATTCTTTGAAAACGTTTTCAAGCTTACTTAACACGGGTTGAACCTCGAACAGAATTTTAAATTCGTCGAAGGGATCATACAATGAAGTTTTTGCACTGTCTCTTTTTGTATTAACGTTGTTTTGTCAGCTTTAGAAGGCATTTTCCTACGAACCTATCAAGACTTATTAATCATAAATATGCTAAATACATGTGCGTAATATGTTGCGCTAAATACTTATATAGCTTTCTTAACACTTTTTAAATTACTTGTGATGTGTAGATTTCTTGTCTATTGTTACAAGGAATCAAATTCGCAAGGTTCTTGAAATTAATAATGAGAAGACAAGAGAATACCAACTGTTGATATTCTCTAGCAATAATAGTAATAATAATGATAATAAAGACTTTATTTCAAGAGGGTGGCGTTTAACAGTCAAAAGGCTAATAAACTTGTAGCCCTCCGAACATTTTCAAAATTACCCGTTACAAATCAATAGAGTTAGGGAGCTATAAAAGCTGACAATACAGAAAAAATATACATACAAATGCAAATGTTTCTGCACCTAAAAAAAACCTTTTTCCACATGTTAATTTTCAAACACTTCTTAGAATGCTCTTAAGGGGCACGTTATTCCAAATTCTTGCTGCTAATGCGGCAAAGGATCGGCTGCTTTCGGACTCACTCACGCTTAAATTTGAGATAGATAGCATTATAACTAGCACACCGTGTTCTTCTGTTGTGTCGATCATTACTAATTATTAAGCGTTCATTGAGATAAGTCGGAAGAAAGCCATTTATGCACCTGTGAAGAATAGCACATTTGTCGATTTTACACTGTTCATTAAAAGCTATCCCACCCAGCCCATTGAAATAGGTGAGGTTATCGATAGTTTTGATTTTTGCAGTTTAGGTACTGACTTGTGTCGAGCTGACTTGGAAATTAAACAAACACGCATGTGTGTGTATCCTTGAATAAAGGGGTAAGTTTCGAAAGAAACTGTGGTGCTGCGTCGGTGGGAGAGTATAGCAGGTAATTTAGTGTTAACAACTGGGTTGAAAACGTAAATTAGCCACCGTAAAGAGTAAAAAAGGTGACGTTTCGAGCGTTAGCCCTTCGTCAGAGCGAAACGTCAGCTTTTTTACTCTTTACTGTGGCTAATTTACGTCTTCAACCCAGTTGTTAACACTAAATTACCTGTGTGTATCCTTGGCCTTACAACGGAGTATCCCTATAGTTTGACATTCGCACTAGAGATTACTGGGCGCAGCCTATGCTAAAGAAACAAGGATGCATTTGGAATAAATTATTTTGTGCCAAAAAAAAACCCAAGTTCTTGCCGTGACACTACAGAAGACGATAAACACCTCACGATAATTTCAGGATGACCCGTGATTGAAAAAAAAACAGAAAACTCTTCCTTACAAAAATATCTTAAAAGGTGTGATCGGCATATTTTAAAAGCTTACTTTTCCTCGGGGAAGAAGTTTTTTTCTTTGAAGAGAGAGCATTTTATTGTTTGAATCAACATATTTTGATTAATAAATCCGAATACACTGGTTTTGTGTAATTTGGTTTAGTTGAGTGTAGTTAGAGTAGTTTGCTGAGGTTGGTTGTAATTCGATGTAGCCCGGTGTAGTTGGTGTGGTTTTGTGTAGTTTGGTGCAGTTGGTGTAGCTTGGTGTTGGTTTTTGCTGTTTGTGTAGTCTGATGTAGTTTGTTGTAGTTTTGTTGAATTTGGTTTGATTTGGCGTAATTTGGTGTCGCTGTATTTAGTTTGGTGAACTTTATGTCAGTTGGTTTACGGAAGTTCTGAAGGTACTGTGAACTGCGTTAAACTACACTTAGTCGTTGTTTAATTGGTAGTGCGGCTCCCTACTTGCAATTTGCGACCATTTTTAAAATACTTGGAAGATGAGGAATTAAATGAAAATAATACAGAACGGAAATGAAAATTATATTTGCGTCTTTTGATGAATTGTACATCTTTTGTTCTACCTCAGAGGGATGAAGGTAGCTCCTTTTTCGTAATTGTCCAGTGTGCGCCCTTCCTAAGTATGTGATCTTGGTTTAATTTGGGCTAGACACAATTTCGTAATTATAAAGCCTTTTTGGTCATCTGAAAAATTATTCATTAACCGAACGGAAATGGTAAAGTTATTCTTGTTTTTGGTTTTCTAGTGCGGCATGTCAAGAATTGGAAACGCAAAAACAGAAGTTGATAGCTTATTATTTAAAACATAATCCAAGTTTACTTTGGCAAATGCGTCCAAATTACTCTTAAAACCGTTTAAAGAATAAGATTACATACTGGAGTGAGTCAGCTGGACTTCCACGAATACTTCGCTAAGAAACTGTTTTTCTTATACTCCATTTTCCAACTCAGTTGTGCGCATTGTTCGATTGATAGGCGGTCCACGTTTTTAGTACACTGTCATTTCAGCACGGCCATAAATAGTGCATACGTTTGCCATGTTTTCAAGTGACGCTTAAGTACCGTAACGACGAAAAAGCTGACGTTCAGTTTTTTTCTACTAAGGTAAGCATATATCACTCAGTCTGGTTCGCCTAGTCAGAGGTCGTTGAATTTATGGGTTGCTTGCCACATAAAGCACTGAGTCTCATAAAGTCATGTTTCCAATCATGTGTAATGTTGAGTTTGAACACTTAGTGGCAAAGTCCTTTCTTTAACCCATGCCAAAAAAATAGCTTTATGGCACGAGTTCAGCGTAAACTTCCGTACTATTCAAATAAAGGACAAGAGAGCATGTTACAATCTGTGCGATTTTAGGGATTCAAACTGAGCCCATGCTGACAGCTTTATTTTCTTTTGGATAGGCAAAGGAGAAGAGGGCAGAAGGGACTGAGATTTTAGTTTTCATTACCACTCGAAAGTTAGGTTTCCGGTTTCAATTGAATTGAATTTTTGTATCCCATTCCTCTTCCCCAAACGTTGTAACCTGAAACCGATCAGAAACCACAAAGGACTACTCTCAATGGTTGTGTCTATTTCCACGACAGAGAAACGAAAAGTCATCAAAGAAGGCTCCATAGGGTTCTTGTTCAATGTTGGCGCGCGCGCCAGCGTAATGTTTTTCTAGAAAATTTCTATGTTTTCACTTTTCAAGGTCATTTGAAGCCATCAAAAGGCAATGAGCAAGGTTCGGAATATCGTTTGTTGCAGTAAATATTCTCAAAATGACTTTGGTTGAAGCTAGGGCTCTACGAGGGGAGGCGCTCACCAGTGATAATTTGGTTTTTCCTTTGATCTTCTCCAATTTGCTTCCCTGAAATCTCTCAAAATTTTTACAATTTGTGAAAATTGTCCGACAGATCATTTAAAAGCCGGAAAAATAGGGGTTACAGTGGCAGTTTCCTCGCTATCTGCAATTTTGTGTTTTCTTCCTCTATCTCAATTTTTTATCAACAGGCACTAGGAAGGGCACAAATATTTTTGATGGTCCAGCAAATCTTAGGAAATTCCACCTAAGAAAAAAGCGATGAATCTTACTCGAAAGATCCCTATTTTCTTTATCATAACAAAACATTACGTAATGGAGCAGATCTTCGCCAAGATCGGTATCTGAGGATGCTTAGACTTTCGAATCTGTCGCCTTTCGGCAATCTTTCCCACGGCGTTTTTCGCAGAATTTCTCACTACGTTAGAAGGAAACTCTGCACACGCTGGTTCTACAAACTTGGACTGTATACTTTCGGTTAACTTGACTTTATTCTTCATAATCCAACATTACACGTTCTGTTTTACGACCTAACTCAATCCCATCTTTTTAGAGTTACAAAAATGCTATGTTTTTTTAGCTACGGATACACACACCCAGATACGTAAGTCCGGAGTGGTAAGATAATTTAAGCTAACTTGACAAAGTTCCAGTTTTGTTTTACGTATTCTTCAATGATTCTAGGCCACTAATTTCCTGTTACATCGGCTTGCTCGACAATCATAGTGTTAATCTACGCATGCGGTTTTACTAGCGACTATTTGATTAAATACATCATTGTTTAATTTGTGAAGACTCGATCACACGATGCCGGTTAATACTTCCTTTGAAATTCCACAAATCAATGTTAGCGACAAGAAATAATAGCTTACTTAAGCAACTACTAAATATACCGAAACAGGAAACTTTCTCATGAGCACGTGCACACTTTTCACGACAGTGT